AGAAAAATATGAACGAAATGGTTTATACTACATGTGCTACATGAGAAACTGCATTCAGATTTTGGCCAAAGGGAAAGGAACCTTGTCCTTCAAAGTACAGAACTTGCTATCAGATAAGTATACTCATTACTTTTAAGAACTAAATGACACCAAAATGGTTCAAAATGTCACTCTTCCTTTTAGAGTCTCAGAAAATCCTCACTGACACCTCAGCTTGTGGAGGTTAAGGATACACTTCTATGGACTTCTGTGCAGGTTCATAATCTTGCTAGAGTCCTCTCTAACCCTGTCTCTCTGCAAGTCTGCTTCACACACACAGATCTTTAAACTTTTTATGATGTCCATGAGACAGAATGAGATATGGTCACAGGAAGAAAAGGCATTATGATTTAATTAGACAGTATACTACAGGGATTCTTTTGCCTCAAAGTTCTTTTCCCCCCCGCCACTCATTTTAGTCCCATGGATAATAGCCACTCTCAGTTTGTACTTTTTGCATTTTTTTTTTGTTAACACAAACATTTCAGTCCTATCTATGTATTTTGGGGTAATGCTTAATGCCTCATCTAAGAAATTATCTCATCTAAGATGTTAAGCACAAAATAAATGCAAAATAGAATCTCCAAGGAAAGAATTTGTTCCAAAACACCTTTGATTTACAATTAATTTTTGCCACACAAAAGAAAATTAATACATGAAATTTGCACACTGGAGCATTTTTAGTAGCCTGTTCAATTATCTAGACTAAGGTTTCACTGTACCTAATCAGTGGAAAATCTGAACACAGAGGTTTTGTTTTAGAGTCCTTCCCACCACATGAAGGATTTTCACAGCTCCTTTTCACTTCATGTAGAATTGCAAAGTGCTACATAACATTCATCCACTCCCCTGATTCTTTCTACCACCTTGGCTTAACAACCCTGAAATAATTTTATTTCTAAAACCTTATGACCAATTCTAAAGACAGGGTAGAAAAAACCTTGTTTAGGAGATCAATAATGTCCTTTATGATGTTTCTGGATGGATTTCTAGTTAGTGCAGGCACAGTTAAGCATCTCTTGGGCTTCAACACAGACAGGTGAGAAACACACTTGATTGCTGTGAAATCTGGAGACTTGTGATAGGAAGCGAAAGCAGGGTATGAGCTTTCCTCTCACTTTTTCTATTAGTATTTTAATTTTATTTGCCTGTTTCAATCAACAAGCTAAATTAAAAAGGTTCCATAAAAAAAAGTAATATGCTCAAGCTTAGCCGACTTGGATGAAATAAAGGAAGCATTACTACATAGTTCTAAAAAGAATATATATTTAACTTAAATTATTGCTACAAGCAAGAGCAATACTAAGAAAATACCTTCATCAAAAGGGGAAAAAAGAAAAGCAAACCAAACCAGACCACACTCTCTCAGATTGACACCCACGTAGCCAAACAGGTACTGCACCAAAATCCCAAACCACTTGCTAAGTCACTTTTAAATCAGGTCAGTCTTTAGACAGCTTCTTGGAGTTCCATCTTTGCTTGCATAAAAGAGGGTTAAGTCTGTTCTTTTCAAAGATCTTTGGCATGATCTTTGATGACAAATGACATGCTACCATATGCCAAAAAAGAAGGGGAATACAGTCACCCCCAGCTTCAACTTTAACTGGAGCTGCTTTGTTCTGAGTGCCCTGAATAATTAATAACTACTTTGGCAATCAGTCATGCATTCCTTAATGGCACCTCAGGCATCAAGTATCCCATTCACCCGCTCCCCAACTAACAATGGACTTTATTACATCAAGTTTTCTCTGCCAAACTTGTAACTGACATAATTTAAACTAAACAAGTGACTAGGAAGACTGAAGCCCAAATGTATATTATAAGAGTTTATAAGATTTCCCTCAGTTTCATGTGGCTATTATAAAGGGCAAGTGAGAAGAAGAGGAAAAGAAATGAAATATGGATTGTTTTTGCAGTAAAATTCTAGGAGGGTTTAGGGGGCAGAGTGCTGCTAAAATCGTGACTTTTAATAAATGGATAGCTGGTCAAAATGAGAACCATCACTAGGCAGCCCTTACTGAATAAAGCAGCTCACCAGTAAGCACAGAGTGACAGGCCAGAGCATGAAAGAGTGACTGAGATTAACAGCTGTGCTGAAAGGAGAATAATAATTTTGGAATAACACAAACTATGTTTGCTTAATAGGAATAAGCTTTTTCAACACTTGCTTCCACTTCATGGTATCACAGACAAAATTAACTTTTAACTATAAAATAGAGGAAAGTGGGAGTAAGACCAGAATGTCAGAAATTTCCAGATGCAGCCAGGGTACTCAACTTAAAATGGAAAAAATTCAAATTATTAAGATCTAATTAGTCAGAATCTGAAGACAAGTGTCATGTTTCTCTTGGGGAACATTCTGCTTGTATCAGTGTCTTCCAATCCCACATCAAACCTTTCTAGAGAATGATATTGGACCTACTGACTGTGGCTGTGAGTCCTTTCTTTAGAGTGACTAAATCTTAGAAATAAAGTGACCAGATCAATATCCATTCTTCTACTACTTGTCATGCGAGAATTTGGTTTGAAATATTATATACAAAGTAAAAAACAAACAAAAAATTATATATATCTATACATGCATACGATAAATTACAGCAGATCTAAACAAAGCCATTTCTCTTGCTCTTTAAAAGACCTGAAAATGTGTCCGGTGCCCCTCACTGTGTGTGGCCTTCAAATACAGAAACAAGCTTGCACTGTTTTATTTCAGTTTTGCTTCATTTCTCCCCAAACAATCTCTCACTTCTAGTCTACCAGGCATCTCCCCCTCCCCACTACTTGTGAAAAAAAAATGAGCAAAAAAAAAAATTAACTGTTTAGGACCAATTCATTGAACTAAATCTCTTAGTGAATCAGTTATGATTTTGCAAGAATTATTTAAAATTTAAGCTCATTTCTATAGCTGACAGTTTTGTGGGGATCTGAGAGGGGGGCTGTAAATTTTATTTTCTCTTGACAAGCTGGATAAGATAACTTTATAGTCATAAAGCAAGCTACTTTTTTTGGCATTGGTTTTCAATTGCTTTAGGTACAAGAAGAAGGTTTAATCTTGGAACTAAACAGTATCTATTTAATTTTCAAAACAGTATCTATTTAATTTACAATCTGCTGTCTGAAATGTGTAATTGTATTTTGCATTCTGCAAAAAAAACATATTTTTTGTTAAAAAAGATCACAGCTCTTTTAGTGGTAGATTTAAAAATTAACTGATAAGAAATTTTTATACTATATTTCCATACATTGTGGGACTCATTCCAAATTCTTATGACAGCTAATAGGCTGCTCTTGTCCCTTGCATGTATTAGGTGTACCTATTTTGAACATTAAACCATTGTTTTGTGAGTGCTGGTAATTTAAATTTTCTAACTGGTTTTCCTATCAAATATGAAGGAATAAACTCAGTCCATTTGTACAGCATGACACAAAAATAATTATACATATACTCCTATTTTCAGGTGCCTTTGTTTAATCAGTTCTACAGAAATGGGATCACACATATGTTAGGTAGATACATAGCAGGTAGGGTGTAATATTAGAGCTGTGACAATGGAATTTGGCACCAGCCCCACAAATAGATGTATTTGTTGATTTTCTTTTACCATTTTCTAAAAGTAAGCACACTTATTACATTCTGCCCTCAGGTGTACTGATGTTTAAACCTGGCCTTATTTCAAGTTTGGAGACTGACATTTTGCTTAATTTTAAAGTTTACTACTATTGGATCATAATATTCTACTAACAAAAGTTATTCTAACTCATAAAGAAGTCAAATATGCAGATCAAACCTTTAGTTCCTTTAGAAGTAGTTCTTCATTACGCATAAGCAGTTAAAAATAATAATAGGAAAACAACACACATAAAAAAAAAATATATACACAAATATCCCACCCCCACTACATTACACTGACACCACCATCAGCATGCTAAATATATTCTTCTCAATAACTTAAATTTTGCCAATGGGGAGACGGAGCAAAAATAGAAAAATAAAACCAGCCAAGTGCATTCTGCGTGAAGCAAATGTCAGTGGGGTTACAGTACAGATTTTTTTAATCAATTTTTTATTAAGCTTGGAGATATTTTCCACCAAATACCACAGACCACGAGACTACTTAGGAAATAGAAAGTGAATTTCAATGAATTTAATAAAAAATATTATTGACGCTCTTTAAATATGGAATACCTATTTTATAAAAAAAAGTCAACCCCTGTTTTCCTTTATTTTAACATTTCAGGACATTATCTCACCCTTAAAATTCTGTAAACAAATTTTTGCTATCGCAGGTCTTTCATTTCACAAAAATAGCAACAGAAAACTGTTGACAGTGAAATTAGTCACATTTTAGACAATGACTAGTTTAATATCTGTGACTTACAAGTTTTAAGCAACATTCAAGAGAAGCCTAAAGTACAGTTTACAAGGAAAATGCAGTAAAAAATTAATATTATGGATTGCCTGCTTTGTCTCTATAATAAAACTACCTAGAACCATAATAGCTCTTCTGTTTGGGAACTAGGTATAATCATCTGGATGAGTATGTCTAATTGCAGCTGACTCATAAAAACATTAATCTCTTCAGTTTCTTTTTTGTAACTTCCCCATCCTCTTTCAACATTACATTGCTGATTCATAAACTGATCTGTCTTTTTCTCAAAGCTGGAATTCTTTTTTTTTATTTTTCCCACAGTACAGTATTAGGAATGTAAACATTTTACTGAATTTTCCACACAAACAACCAAGCCCACAACTTTCTAGTCCAAAGCTACCCAAAAAGAACCACAGGAACACTCAGTTAAAAACAGAAACAAAAGGTACAATTCAGGAAGACAGATTGCACACTATTATTATTATTAAGAAATAAACAGAAATTAATCTTACCCTATTAAAATACTCTTTTGAGCTACCACTTCAAAGATTTTGTATCCTGAAATGTTTCAAACTGAAACATGTTACTTACTGGCATAAGAAGTGTATAATGGATGCAGAATCCAGGTTCAGAAGGGAAATATTCATCAGACACAAATCTTATTCTGATCTGGTTTCCTTTGGAGATTTGTCTGCTTGGCACAGTACTGGAACCACACCAACGTCCTAAAACAGTGCCATCACTAGGCTCTTCAACTTCTACAAAGTCATACCTGAACAGAAAAGAAAATAAAATGTTTATTTACTGCCAAAAATGCTATAAACTTCCTAATTTAACCAATAAACTGACTCTGCAATTTTTTATTTTTTTAAATGCTAAAAGTATGCAGCCAGCTATTTTGAACTTAGCTCCCAAGTTGCTACTGACTTACATACATAATAAAATCATGCAGTGAGGTTAAAAAAATAAAAGCAGAGTTAGCATTTTGAAGAGACCCAAGTGTATGGTTTTGCTTCTTGTACAGAAAGCAATTGACACATGTGTGACAGGGCAGAATAAAATCAGAGAAAAAAAGGCTGTAATTGCCCGAGTGGCACAGTAATTCATGCTGCAATGTCACCAGCAGTACACTGCACGCCACCAGGGAAAGTTTAGGAATTTTTTGGTACTGAAAACCTGATTTCCTGGAATATCAGAGGTGAATAACTTCCTAAAGGTTAAGTTAAGCCTTAAAGAAGCTTGGAAGGAGTTGATGCATATACCAAGAAGACATTTGTTGAACAAAAACTTGGACCTCACTGCATGTCAGAAAGAACCTGGTATTGTGGAAGTATTGACAAGAAACATATGGGTAGGGAACGTTGAGAGAATTAAACATATTAAGTTTGATTCAGTTTCACTGCTTTTAACATGTGGTCTGGATATCCCTGGGGATCAGTGAACAACTTCATCCAGATCCATGGAAGGTAATGAAGACATGCCAGTCAATCATCAGTAAGCTTCAGTATGGACAAAGGTCCTCATTTTCCCTGGAAACGTTTAGCGGCTTCCCAAGTCATAAAAACATGGAAAGCCACTGCTCTAGAAGGTACATCTGGTTTCAGGGCTTTAACCTGCTTCATGTCAGTTCCCCAGCCGCCCCCTGACAGAATAAACACTGAGCATTTCAGCGGCATTTTCCCTGCTCCAGCTTGAATCCCCAGAGCCCCGTGGCACCAGAGCCCGGCGCTTTGGGAAGGTGAGCGTGCGCTGGTTACAGCAGGGCAAGCACTCGGCTGCTCGCAGCTGCAGCTTCCCCAGCCAAGTTCTTCCTTTTAAACCACAGTTTGTATCCTAAGCATGAGCATAACAAACCTCTGAGAAGGTTTTGAGGTTTCTGATGTTTTTATGTCCTCTTGCATGTGCAGTCATATATTAAATACATCTCACATAAATCTAAATTCGTAAATAGCGGAGTCTTTTCAAGGGTACAAACAGTCCTACCTCTGATGATAGCAAAGGCTCATATTTTAAGAAACACGCACACAAACACACTCTACCAAATATGCCAAACTATATTTAATGTGAAAATTATTACCTCATAAACATTTTCTACTAAAGCTTTTTCTGGATTTTTTTTTTCAGTAAATCTAATCTTTATAATGATTCCCAGTTCCCTAGTTAGACAGCAGGCAATAAATTCTTGTGTTGCATGTTTGTGCAAGACTGACTCGCACATTTATTATCTCCATTTAAAGTACCACTATTTTTTCCACTTAATTAAAAATGAATGCAATGAATATGCTCATTAACTGTGTTCAAAATCCATTACTGCCATGTACCACAGTTTTAAATCTTTGTTGAACTTATGACACTAATTACTTTATCATTATCTTTTCTCCCCAAAACACGAACTAATTCCTTTAACAGATCCACCAGTGTTTTTACTTTATGATCAAGTATACAACTTATTACAAAGGCAACGTGTACATTAATTGTATTAAGGCCTCAGGGCTCAACACATTTATCAAATTTATTTTGAATGCTGAGCTTTTTTTTCTTTTCAAGATCAGCTTATGAAATTTCTAAAGATAACCTTTTTTTATTTTTCAGTTAAGAATATTAAGTAATTACCTACCTTTCTATTTTTTAAAGAGTGAAATAAGCTAATATTTACATTTATTGACTTAGGTTTAAGATGTTGAGGGGAGTCAGGGGGCCTAGTGCCTCTACCTAACTTGCAGTACTTTTATTGCACTCTTTGGTCTCCTGGTACACCCAAAGTAAAAGAGAAACTCAAATTCCACAGTTTAACTCCTAGACCCTTCAAATAAAAGCTAATTAAATCCATTAGTAGAGAGGTAACCTTGAGGGAAATAAGTAACCTGAAAAACCAAATAAAATTCAGCTTGGATAATGACATTTTTAGCCAATAACTTTTTTCCTGTCAGTTATCTAGGCTAAATGTGCTACAAGAGCCTGCCAAAAGCCTTCTGTGAGACTAAAATTCCTCTCATCACACATCTGAACTGATGTCTGAACTTTGTGTAAAAACAACAAAACAAAGCTGTTCAGATGCTTTAGCATTTACATTATTGTGTTACGTAATTTTGCAGCTGATGTCATGGAGCTAAGGAACAGCAGGGACAATAGCACAGCCATGGAAAATTATTTCCCCATCAAGAGAAGCTTGTACTTGAAACACAAGAGAACTGGAATGGATAACAAAAAACTGAGATGCCATTTTTCAACAGCAATTGAGTAAGAAAATGTTAAAATGCATGTTGAGCTTACCAACGTAGAAGCCGTCTTTTCTTTGCAGTGTGCAAAGGAGCAAACATAAGCCTCTTTGAAAATTACTAAAGAAATGTTCTGGTGCTGTATCTGTAATATTTTTGAAATATTACTAAGTAAAATTTATGCCAAAAAGGCAGTCCAATCTTCCTTCATGGGACTAAAGATGCTTGGGCCTTTAGGCATGATGCCCACAATGCCTTCTCTTATACCTGTGCAGATTATCTACTCCCCTCCCCTAAGGCCTGGGTGCCTGGGAACATGGATTGAATTAACAACCTGAGCAAAGACAATTTACTGGAAAGGAGCAAGGAAGTAACATAAGCAGTTCAAAGCTTCAACAGCTTTCCAACCAGGAAATGTATTTTCCAAGGGTATATGTTTTCCTCTCCTTTCTTTATGTTTTTTCTGTGGTTTATACTGCCATTTCCTAAACATATTCTGACAGGCTGTTTATCTTGGCTTGAAGTTTTGTGACCTTTCTATGGCTTCTCTCTGCCTCCAGAATTCCACAAATATATCAAAAAATGTAAGAAGCAAAAAACCACCAGGTAAAACCCTTTGTCATATCAGTGGTGTTGAACCTTTCCATCTGCATACAGATGCATGCTAGACAAACTGTAGAAAGCCCATTAACACAGTTTGTGACAGGTGAAATTTATTCTTCCTTCCCCTTATAATAAAAATAACTTTCTTTTGCTTTAGTTAAGAAACAAGAAGTTTTTAACAATCCCTATTGAATTTTTATAGCATTTTTTGGTGGGGCAATGTAATATTTCTATTCCAACTTGTTTTAAAGCACAGAATTCTGAGGTTTTCCTGGTGTTGGCATAGCACATCCACCTGCAGACCCAGAACATCCAAGGTCCTCTGGCAGTTCACCAAACAATTGTAAAAGAGCACAGAAATGATTTGGACAGCTTCAATTTTGGAAACACTGGAAATTACTAGAAGCTGTAATCAGAAGTTTAATACCATTATTCTAAAGAAAACTTAAATTCCCTCTTCCACCTCTATTTAAAATAATTTTAATTTCTGCTATTGCAATGTTTATATTTCCTATGAAACAAAAGTCTTGGTTTCCATCATTTGATATAACTGTGCTTTTGTATAGACGAAAAGTGTGAGGTACTGGTGATACCTTACATAGTTTTCATTTCTTAGATCAATTTCAAATCACATCTGTAAGTCATAATATTCCTCTTTGTAAAATAAACATATTTGCCTATAGAGGAAACCAAGGCCAAACATTTAGCTAGACAATATTTTTTTTCAAAGCTTGGCAGATTCATGTTTATCTGAGTGGCAAAGGGAACACTGGAGCATGACAGAGGCACTCAAATCCATGGTATCTAATAGCAGCTTTGTTATTCCCTGCAGGCCAATATACAGCAAAGATGTGTGATAGGACAAGAGGAATGCAGAGTTTATGATAAGGGTAGAGGGAAAATAGCAGGATCTCAAGAAGGAAGAAAAGGACAGAGTGGTACGCTGGATTACAAAAAAAACATTATTCCATGTAAGTGACTAGCCTACAGACATAGCAATACAGTTGTAAAAAGGAAAGCATAATCCATCATTCATTCAACAAGTGGAGAAATTTCTTTTTTAATACCCATTCTGCCCCTCTCACTGAGACAAAATTAAGTTTTCCTCAAAGACAAAGGCACAGACACAAAAGATACATCATGTGAGATGAAAATCAAAATGACACAAAATTTAAGTCATTGGTAATAATGAAACTGCAGGTACTTGTGCACTACTTTTCAGTTTATGCAAGATGAAATTTTAACTCAGGTATTATTTTTTTAATTTACAATGTGACCAGGTCAGGCAACACAACCACCTATTGCCCAAGTTTGCAAGCTTCAGAAGATCTATTCAATTCCATTGCCTTTCAAATGCATTATTTTACACCATACTCTTCTGCATTTGTTGCCAGACAGAAATATCTATATTAATTTCAGACTGGCCTGTTCAGGCCAGTCCTCCATTCAGCACAAGATTCCTGGAATTGAAAACCACTAGCAATGCACATCAGTAAAAGTTACCTATGAATAATGTCACTTGCCAGATAAGCAGCAGAGAAAAGAATTCAGAAAGCAGATTTCCTGGAGGGACAGAAGGGAGATTGCACCTTGACTGAAATGGTGGCTCTGTGACAGCACCAGCAAATACTCCATACAGAGTAGAAGTTCAGTAAAGATTATTCTGCACAACATCATCAGAAATATTTAACTGGGGCTACTTTGAGTGACAGTAAAGCCAGGAACAAAACATTTTTCAAAAACTAGCCAATACAAAATTTTAATTATTTTAAATATTTCCTCTGGATTTTGTTTTTCCAATATGAATTTCCAAACAAAGTTACCTAGAGTCACTTGACTGCAGCTCCTGAGGCTCACAACGTGGATGATTTACCCCCATGATTCACCCACTTCAGGAGGACTTGGCAGTGTCTTCTCATGCAAGAGGAAACTCCTTTGAATATCATTACAG